ATTTTGATGATGCCAACGAATATATAAATTTTTTGAGGTTGGTTTGGGTTTGGGTGCGTAGGATAAGGAGGGAAGGGTGCACAGGATGAAGAAAAGGAAAGGAGAAATCCAACTTTTTTTTTTTCTCTTCTCTCCCCATTTGGCTTTTTGGGTTACATCTTTCTAATGATTAATCAATGAAGGAGGTAAGGCCTAAAGAGAAGAGTGAATGATTTTGTTTATTGAAGTTTGAGAAATAGGAGAAGGGAAGGAGTGTGGGTCTCACACTCTTTTTTGTCTTTCTTATAAAAATGGAAAGTACAAAAGGGAGAGATTAGAACGAAAATCAATGGCACACGAAAGATATGATTACATGAAGGGAGAGGTTTCTTATCCTAATTTTTTTTTTATATAATTTAGTAGATAGTAATAAGAAAATAAAAAATTATAAGTATTAAATTTTAAAAATTTTATTAATTATTTTTAAATTATTATATAAACTAATTAATTATCCATTCTCTATCACTAATTATTTTGCTATCAATAGACAATGAGAAAGAAAAATGCCATAATGTGAAATGAATTTGGATTTCCTCATGTGGGCCTATATTCAAGACCCAATATCATTTCTAACCTAATTAAATGAAAATATTATGATCTTTTAATAAATTCATGATGCATTGGGGGAATTTTGAACTCAAATTAGTAAAAAAAATATAAAAATATAAAAAAAACATATTTTTTATTGGCTAGATTAAAAGGTAAAAAAAATACCTTAAATTATAATTCAACAATAATTTAAGTTTTTAACAATTTATTGCAATTAATCAAAATTTTTATTTTTTATTTCGATTCAATTAAATTCTTAATTGGATGAAATTTAGTTATATATCAAAATTGAATCAATCAATCTCCGAATTATAATTAATTGAATCTGAGATGAATCTTAGAAAAAGGGAGAGAAAAAAATAAAAAAAGAAAAAAAAAATTTATTTTATTTTATTTCACATATGTTAATTGTGTCACGGAGTAAAATTTTATCTATTTTATTAATATCATATAAAATTTTATTTTAATTAGTAAAAATATTAATGGTGTTAACTTTTTTATTTAAATAAAATTTAATTAGATGTAAATAAATATTGAAGGGATTGATTGATTGATTGTATTAAAATAATAAAAATTTAGATATTTTTTAATTATAGTTTAGAGACTTCTTATACCCTTTAATCTATTTACTACTATAAAATTTAATGAGATATTATAAATCTTGTAATTTCATTTGTCTAAAATTTTTGTTTCAAATATCTGTATTTTCTAGAATGATACTTAATTATTAAAATTAAAAAATCTATCAATTTGTGTATAAATTAATTAATTTATAAATGAGATATATAATCAAATAAATAAATATTAGTATCACAACATATTAGCAATAGTATTAGGATGAATGGTGATTTTAATTGGACTACAGTGCAAAATGTATCCTATGTATGATATAAAATCCAAGACACGATACAGTTGACACAAAGACATACTATAGAACTTCACCAAAAAAAGAAAAGAAAAGAAGACATACCATAGAAAGATATTAATGTTGCAAGCTAAGAACGAAATATCCATAAAATATTTTAATTTTATCATTTTTCAAAAATCAACAAAATTAAATGCACGATGATAAAATTCAATATTATATTATAAATTTGATTTTAATTTCATAATAATATATTTACACAACATGTGATCTCGAGTCCACTTATTAAATAATTTCTTGCAGCTGTTCTCAACCATCAATTGTCCAAAAATGTTTATCAAACTGTTTAAAATAAAAGGTTTGGTCCAATTATATGTTGCTCAATTTGAAAGAATCGGACAACTAATCATTTTTTCTTTAATCCAATCCCATTATTAACATTCTTTCTTGGGACAGATTGTATGTATCAACAAAAGGTTATTTTTTTACAAAGCAGCCATTTTCTAAACGTCAAATGAACGGGTGGAAAGCGTCCAAGTCCACCCTAAAATATGGGGTCAAGTGATCAGTGCTTGCATCCAAGAAAAAAGTTGATAAGTTGTGGAAGTGCATGGCTTGTAAGGGAATACAATTTTTCTAATAGATTATAATTAAAATTATAAGAAATTTATCAAAATTTTATATAAATTTTATATTTATAAGTAGTGAATTTTATATAATTTTTTATTATAATTGAATAATTATAAGTAAAATACTTCCACTTTTAAATTTGAAATTCGATTTAGATTAAAATACTAAACCTAGATACCAACTTTAAAATTATGCATAAAATAAACCAAAATAACAAATTCATGATAAAATTTAGAAAAAATTTGTCTGTTTCATCACATGGTTAGTAAAACAACTAATAGTGATTTTTTTTATATTTTAAATTATTAGGATTTAAATCATGATAATTAAAATTAAAAATTCAACATTTTACCAACTAATGTTATCAACAAAAATTATACATGTACTATATACTTTTTATCATTTTGATACTTAAAAAAATAAAATTTACAATTAAATATTTTAATTTTCATTCCACTTAAAAGTAGATTGTACAAGAACTAAATAAGCATTTAACACAAAAAAAAAGAAAAAAAGAACCTAATCAAGCATTTCCAAACAAAACATGAACAATGCTTTCAAGAATCAATGTCAATACATCTATAGCAACGAACGATGAGTCGATGAAAACGAATTTTGATTCATGTTAATCAAGATAAACGATGAAGAAGCTCGGGAACGAATTCATCCTAATTTCCCTGAAGTTGCTTCCAAGGTACAAAATGCTATAAATGCAGAGAGCTTAAAACACATGAAGGGATTTTTTTCTAGTTCAGGAATGGGGACCCTACCAGATCGAAAACCTGATCGATGACAAGGTGCACTTGTAAGCGGGTTTCGAAGACCATTAATGGCTGTATTAACCACAAAATTAACTATATTTGCATCATTCCTGTATCCTAAAATGAGAGAGGTTTATCACCAGGGTCTGCCAAAATTTCCCAGTTGCTTGAAAAAGAATTAATATGCAAAAATCAGTGGCTTTGGGCACCACTATTAAGTAGCGTACAAGAACTCCGTTGAAAAGGCTCAATTAATCAAATCAGGGCATTCCCCTATTTTCTTTCCCGCATGTATGCCTAACAAATATAGGCACTTAGTTAGATATATCAATTTTATCTGTACTCAGTCGAAAAATTCGGTATTTTATTCAAATAAAGATTGAGATAAATATTATATCGTGAATATAAAAATAATGATGAATATAATTTTAAATTTTTATTGGTGCGAGGATGTAGATGAGTAAGATAACACTTATTGCATACTTATATCTTATATGTATTTATATATACCTATAATATATTTTTTATTAAATAATATAAATTATTATTTTAAATTAACTAAAATTAATATATTTTTAATGAAAAAATTATATTATTATATATATTTATAAAAAAATTTTAAAAAACTAAAAAAATTTAGTTTTTAGTTTTTTTTTTTAAGTTATGACTATAAAGATTATCTATACTCATTAAATATCCGTGAAGATGAAGATAAAAATAAATTTAAAATACTTATTGGGTAAGAAAAACGAATATGAATATAAATATAGATATAATATAAAAATTTATGGATGAAAATAGGAAATGCTTTACCCTATCCAAATCCTATCCATTAACTTCCCTACACTTAGTAAAATGTTTGTTAAGTGTTCTGATCGGATAGTTCTTTCGTCCGAAATTAATGATACTGGTATAATTAATAATAAAAATTGTTTTTATTAAAAAAAGATTTTACTTTTATAAAAAAATCCAATCTCAAATATTTTTAGAAATGTTCTAATTTAATTTTTCATTGTATTTTTTTAAATTTAGCATTTTTATTTAAACAAAATATTTAATTTTATTATTATTTTTTAGAATTTGTATACAAATTTCCATATTTTTTAATTTTTATGTTTTTTGGAAAATTTTTATAATTTTTTATGTTTTTAAAAAAGTTTATAAATTTAATTTTTTACATGTTTTTTATCTTATTCAAATAAAAAATAAATCAGGATCAAAGACTATTGTGCTTCGTTATATTTTTATGTTATCCTAGATTTGTTTTGTTCTACCTCAAATAAACCAAACAGAATAAATTCTAAAAATTCGTGTCTTCTTTATAATTTATTTATTTATTTTTATTTAAAAATTAAATAGATTTAAAATGTTTTTAAAAAAATAAAAAAATTCCAAAAAGCTAAAATAAAAAGTTAAATATTTTGTTTTAACAAAATTCTGAATTTGAAAAAATAAAAATTTTAAAAATAATTTTATTTAAAAAATTAAAATATGAAAAAAGTACTTTTAATATTTTTTAAAAAATAAAAAATTTCTTAAAAATTCAAAATATTGAATCTATTAAAATTAAAATATGATTTTTAAAAAATTCAAAAATATGAAAAATAAATCCAATATTTTAAAATATCTATAAATTTTATAAAACATTAGAAATATTGAATTTTTATACTAAAACAATTAAATTTCAAACTTGTGTACGAATATAAAAACTAAATTTTAAATTTCATACAAGTATAAAGTTAATTTATATAATTTAATAACTGATTTTATTAATACAAGTTATCACCATCAGTAAATCAACACTATCTCAACAAACCAAGAGCTATGTAATCAAATCAACATCAATATTTTTAAAAGTAAAAAATTAGCTGAGTTTGTGATTGAATTAAAATTATTAAATTAAAATAATATGAAAACTACATTTGTATAATTACAATACATAAACTAAAATTTAAATGTGTAAAGTACAAAAGCCTTTGATATAATTTAACCTAATTTTAAACATAATAAAGTAACATAACATAAAAACTACAAAGACAACATAAAAACAATACAATTTAAAATTTTAAAGAAAATTTTATATAAATTTAACAAAAAACAAAAAATATATATTTTACCTTTTTATGAATGGATATGAATTTAAAATAATAATTTTTTTTTTTTTATTTTAAACGCCTTTTGACACTTAACGAATAGGATATAGATGTACCCTCATCTGTTAGCCCAAAGTATCGATACTGAAAAAAGCCTGGAATTTATTTGTTGCATGCCTAACATGCAACAGCAATTTATCGAGGGAAAGCCAAGAGAAGAACCCCGATGCTGCACTTCAATCAACCCCCAGGTGGGGCTACCTGAATTATTGGATCAAAGGACAAGGTAAAATAAGCCTGGCTCTAATTGTCTAGATAAGATAAAACATAGATTAAAAAGCAAGGAAATAAATTAATACAAGCAATATCATTAGAGGGGTAAAAATATGCTTGTTTTACAGGGAATTTGCTCCCTCTATCAGCAGCAACGTTTCACCTGAATAAATTAAACGAGGAAATGATTAACCATGATGTGTGAAAAAAAAATAGTAATAATTTGGATCCTCTACGTTTAAATAGATTCCTGAAATCCGCTAATTTTAAATGGCTGAGTTTCTCTCTCTCTCTCTCTCTATATATATATATATCAATATCATTTCCTTTTACTTTGTTAAACCTGTAATTGAATTTTTAAACCTTCTCGTCTATCTCGTTAGAATCTGATAACTCGTCCTGTTTTTGTGATTTGTTGCTTAAAGTTGAATAAATCCGACGCTCCTTTCCTCCTGGCTTGGAGGAAGCATTACCATACCAGACCATTCCCGCTACTGCGATGACCATACCCAGAATTACATGTAAATTAAGACCTTCTTTCCCGAAGAAAATGAACCCTAAAATCAGGACAAGAATAGTCTTCATATGGCCAAGCACTTGGAATGATACAGCCGTAAACCTGCCAATGCAGATGAACTGGCTGAGGTTGGTCCCCACGGCAATGGTGCATGACAGGATTATGAAAAACTGCAAGCAAAAAGCATCACACATCATTTACAGTAGTCATGATTACCTGCAAGCAGAATCTATTAATATTCATACGTGAACTTGCACATGCACTTCAGTAAAACAGTACGACAAAATCTCTGGTGACTAGGGGGATGTGACTCGAGAGGGAATGAGGCTAGAGATTCTAGGTTTGGACTATAATTTTGTTCACTTGTACCAGCAGACAAAATGATCTGCTACAAGTTTTACAATCTTGATTTTAAGCAAAAGATGTTAGAAGCATCATGATCTCACTCAATTCTTTCAAATTCTAAGAATGCCATCTAATTTATGCCATGAACAGGATAAATGCAGCTAGCTCGGTTAAAAAAAAATTGTAAGAAAACAAGAGCAGATAATCAAAACCATTTATTTGTGGATAATTAAATAATCAAAATCAACATAGTGGCTAAGGAAGGATGTCAATCCTTTAACAATACCATTAAACTTAAAAGTGCAGATATGCAACTAGACACAGTTTGCAGAACCTTATTTTTAACATGTGAAACCTGAAAATAAAGCATGCATCAAGATGGTAAGCTGATAAAAACAATCAATCCTACTTGTTGGAGAATTTAGCAGGAGGTAACCCAACTATATTCTGGAATAGCTGAATTATTAAATATTGTGGAAGAACAAATTTTGCATATCATTTTGGCCAACCAAACAGAAGGCAGGAAACTAAGCTATCATTGACTTCTATTTTAAAGGAAAAATCATAGACAACTACATCCAAATTGGCAGAATCAGGCTTTAAAATGGAAGACAAAATTACTCTCTCATTGACATCATTTCACCTGGTAGCTTTGAAAGCAAAATAAATATCCATGAGAGAGAGAGAGAGAGAGTACTATCTATATATAAAGCACTTAAAAAAGTGTACCAAACAATGAAGCTTCATCAAGAACATTACAAAAGCACTTCATGTAGCTTAGTGATGGCAACTTTAATGCCATGAAATTGGCTCCTTTTCTTGTTCAGTCTAATATCAGGAATATCAAAATGCTAAATGGGTAAAAAGTAATGAAATAGCTACCATATGCAGGGAGAGTATTGCACTACAGGTATTCCTGCTCTAGCATTAGGAAAGTGTGCTTGGACGGGGAAAAGACAGGACAATTTGCATTAGAAGATCAGAAGTAGGTAATATATTTAAATCTTCTTATTTGTGAATCCTTTTCATAACCAGATGTAAAAAAGGAAATAACCTCTCCATATGAACACAAATAAACACAAAGACATTCCCAAAATTTATTTTAGGCAACCACAGGCCTCTTTCTGGGACTGTAAGGTAGATCATCCAGCCCTCCTTTTTGAGCCAATTAGATGTGGCAGAATTGAGTACCAAAATAAAATGTTATAGACATACAATGCCACCAACTTTGACAATAGACCTAGGTTTCTTAATTTCTATTCAAGAAGCTGATTCACATAATAACAGCCAAACTTGGGACTGTCAGCTATTGCAATGACAATGAAGGACATTTAGCATTTTATGAACACTCAAAGGCTGCAGATAAAGAGTGATTGCTCAATACAGATGGAAATCTATCCATAAATATACCAATATAACTTAATCCAAAAGCAAAAACATAACATGCATTAAAGAATTGAATCAGCTGTAATGACTTTCATGAGATCACATGCCAGTGAAATGGAGCAGTACTATTACCAACTAGATTCTAGGCAACTCTGATAAGAACCTTACCGTTGATATCACAGTGTAGTTATAGGCATAAACCTTTTTCTCTGTTAACCAGTAGTCCACAAAAGGACCAGCTAACAGCAGGCTTGCAGCTTGTACTGGAGCAGTATGTCCCAATAAGTCGAAAGATCCTAAAGAATGCTTGCGTTGAAGAAAATGTACATACTGTAAAATAAATAAACAAATAAATAAGAAAAAAAAAAAAGGAAGACCCAAATTATCAATCCATGAACAAGATTTAAGCATGGCCGGTGTCTTATTTATGGAATGGATCAAGGCATGATAAATGCATTTTGAACCTTGTTCAATTATAAAATTACATGAGATGACCATTGGTGGAGCTCTTTTATTCCCAGTGGGGGCTCAAGCCCTCGCTGAGGCAAAAAATTTTGAAATTATGTATATCGTAAATAAAGCCCAAAGACTCTTTACTGATCCAATTTATTTGTTATTAAGACTAGTATTGATTCTATCATAAACCATGGTTACAGTAGAGAGCATTTTCAACAATGAATATCTTGAAGACTCATTTATGAAATTGAATTGGAAATTAATGGTTGAATGATAAATTAGTTATGTACATTGGAAAATGTGTTCAAAAGTATTAATAACAAACCTATCGTGCAATGTTTTCAAAATATGAAACCATGTCAAGTAAAATAGTAAAACTTTTTACAACTATGACTATTCTATCAAATACCATGGTTACGGTAGAGAGCATTTTCAACAATGAGCATCTTGAAGACTCGTTTATGAAATTGAATTGGAAATTAATGGTTGAATGATAAATTAGTTATGTACATTGGAAAATGTGTTCAAAAGAATTAATAACAAATCTATCGTGCAATGTTTTCAAAATATGAAACCATGTCAAGTAAAATAGTAAGTTTTTACAACTATGACTAGATATAAAGTTTTTTTTTTATTACTATTATCATTATTGTTGTTGTTTTTTTTTTTTAATAATTTAGTATATTTGAACTAAGACCACGCTACATAAAATTTATGGCTCCACCACTGGACATGACTATCCAAAATCTTCCAACTTATTGCACCTTAGGTAAAATCAGGATGCTCGTGCGATTTACTTACGTACTGCTGGAGAGCTGTGCTGCAGACTGCTATTACAGCAGCTACAAAACCCTTGACATTAACACTGACATCTGTAACAGTACAGACAGCAACTCCAAGGAGAACTACTACTATGCTAAGCTTCGTATCCCTCGAATAGCGGACCTTGTCAAAAACAACTTCCAGAAAGCAAGATACTGGAATCATGCTCAGCTTTGCTATCTGAGAATAATTTTTAAACAAATCAATGTAACATAACTTCCAAGAGATCAAACAAAGAAGAGAATAATAATCCAAGTCACTAAAACTGACCTGATAGAAGCCCACAGAATTCCACATCAAACTCACATTCATTCCAACAATAGAAAAGTTTGCAAACAAGACAAACTTGAGAAGATCGGATAATGGTAGATAAGAGTCCTGTATGTAACCCAGCCATCTAAGAAGAAAAGTCAACAAGGTTGTTGTGGCAAAATGCAAACCCGTTAATGTTGTAGCTGCAGCATGGTAATAAATGGGGCACAACATCAGGGTTTCTAGATATGCTCGGGTAATTTTGTTAACATTTGACTTGCTTCATCAGAATTAATATAGTAAAAGCAAGTTACATTTTTCATATGCAAGATATTTTTTGATATTCAAGGAATTTGAGCTAGAAAAGGGGAGGTAGCTCTCTCTCATCCCACAAATCTCAGCCTGCCCATCCTAGGATTTGAACCTAGGCTCTCCAAGATGGAGGCCCCAGTTCTAATTGCTGGAGTGTCCTCTTCATGACTTTTCATACATAAGTTGGAGAAGAAAACCATGGTAAGGAAAGATAACTTCTTTTTCTATCCAACTATAAAAGGTTTTTTTTTTCACTTCTTAACCCTCATCTATTCATAAAAGCTCTCCCATTAGAAAGGCATTAATCCTCTGCATATTGGTAATGCTAAAGTGTGGTTTGGAATCTTCCAATCAATTTCTTATACATATAAATCCATTGTATTTGTACGATATTTGTTTAAAACATGCTTAGATTCCATATGAGATAAAAAGTACCAGATATACATATTTGCATTGACAAAATGCAACTGCAAGACATCATCAAACAACTTCAACCACCGAGATAAGTCCAGAGGGTTCTTAAGCGATATCAAGCAGTATACTTTTCCACACAAATTTCATATCTCTAAAAAATTGTATTGTCCTACATAGCATGGCTTGACTTATATCTTCTTACACAGTTTACTTATCTGTTCATGTCTATAAGAGTTACTAAGCCTTTAAAAAATTTGATATTTAAAAAAAAAAAATTTCAAAAATTTAGGGCCTGCTTACATTTGGATAGTATTTTCCATTTTTTGTCTCCACTTTTACTCTAAATATAATCTATGATAAAAAATGAAAACAACCAAATCTCTGGAACCCTTGTTTTCTAGTTTTTTGGGAAATTGAAAAAAATTTAAATAGCTGTCAAATTTAGTTATCTTCTTTCAAATATAAAGTAAAAATTAAAATGGAAAATGAGAAATATTTTCCAAAACTAATGGGCCTTAAGCTGTTTCCATCCAAATTTGAAACCAAAAAGCTGGAAAAGAACACTTCATCCTATTTTAAGGGGGTAAACTTGTAAGACTTGTTTGTAAAGTTTGAGATTGTCAGGCAATTACTGAAAATCAAATTTCTGCTACAGGTAAAAAAAATCTACTTTAATAATGGATGAACTGGTAAAAAATTATTATTCTTTTAAGATATAAAAAGGAAAAGAGAATACAGGAAGATCATCTTTTACTCAATAAGCTATATGGGCTTCTATTTGATTTTCCTTTTCAAATCAACAAACACAAGCTAAACAAATGGGAAAACCAAATCAATGTATGTTACTTCCTAAACTATTAGTCTTGCTACTCTGCTTGCCCGTTTTAGGTTGACCATATGGAGTTCGACCCATAACAACTAGACTTTATAGGAACACTATGAAAATAAAATGATTGATCCATTAGATACGTAATGCAAATGCAAAGTTTATCAAAGTTTGCAGGTAAAATGTTTATTCAAAACATACCAAAACTGAAGCCATATGTAGCCATCAAGGCTTTATTGACCATGATTATACCCACAGACGTGACAACATTGAAAAACCATGAGGCCACATCTAGAGCTGCTTTCCTATCAGCCTTGCTTACTGATGACATTTTTAACTATAGTCTCCAATTTATCAAGCAGAGTCTTTGTTTCTCAATTTTCAGCAAGCAAAAACTAAGTTCAGCTGCCAAAACACCCGCAGCAGTACCTGTATCAACAAATCATTTGGAAAAACAATATCATTTTAACATGAATAGTTTATAATTAGTGACAATGAAAGGTTAAAGAAAGCACAAACAAGCATCCTCTTTTAATACAGACAATGAAGAAATTTATTTTTTTCAGACAAAAAAACAGTGAACTACCTTATAAAATTTTCATTCAGAAATAACAAGAGCAAATTAAAAAGCAACATACAATTGTAATACATAAACTTTCCAAGACAATTATAGGAAAGTAACAATTTTACAGGAAGAGATAACAAGTACAATGATCTCTTACAACTCTTGACAGCCAGTGGTCCGTTGGAAACCAACATTAGAAAAGTAGGATTTGGAATTTAGAAATTCAAATTTATACTTTGAGAATGATTTAAAGAAGCTGGATCTGGATTTGGACTGATTCCACCAAGAATTTTTTGAAGGGCGAAATTTAAGATTTCAAATATTACTATTCAAGATTGGCATTTATTAATCCAGTCCAATTTTAAAACTTGAATTTCAATCCAAAATTTCTTCAGTTTCAGATTCAAGAATTTTAAGTAGGTGAAAGAATTTGATATCCAAATCCAAATTTACGTTCCCAAAATGGAAACAAAGAAATTTCTACAATTTATAGTGAAAAGCAGAGCAGCCAAATTTCAGTACTTATAAAATTAATACTAAAGCCCGGGATTTGCTTATTTTAATTTTTTTTTTTAAAAAAATTAAAGCATGGGATAAAAAATTGAAACTTTTCCAGCTACATGAATTTGACCTGCTTGCTAACATCTAAACTTATAAAACTAATACTAAAACGCTCAAAATTACCTGCCTTTACCAACAATTTTTCAGTTCAAAGGAAAAGTGATCGAGTTTAAATTTTACGCATTACTAAAATTCTATAATACGTATCATATAAATTTTTTAAAAAATGAAGAAATATTTTGCTATTTCTAAGCAGATCCATCACTCTTTAACGTTTACTTGATTACGCTTCATTTCTAAAACATAAAAAAAAATCCGAAGAAATTTCAATCCAAAAATGGCAAATAAATAAAAAGTAAATAAAAAAACCACATCAAAGCAAAATTAAAATTAAAAGAAAAAGTCGTTAAATGATCAAAGCAACAAAGCATTAATCGGCAATAGATATATAAAGTGGATTCGAAACATATTAAGAAAAGAAAAAGGAAAAAGAATTTAAACGAACCTGAGAAACGAAGAAGAAGAAGAAGAAGAAGAAGAAGAAAGTCCAATGAAGTCCTCTTGGAATTTGCGCCGTAAATAGGTTTTTTTTTTATTTTTTTTGAGAACGAATGAGAGAGAAACAAATATTCTATTTTATTTTTGCATTTATAGTTTCAAGAATATTTTATTTTTGCATTTATAGTTTCAAACGTTCCTTCTTTCGCCATTAAGAGTGGGAGAGGAACGATTCAACAAGATAAAAATAATAATGATACGATAGAAAAAAATTATGAATGAATTTAGTTTTACTCTTATTTATATCGTTAAGGTTTAGTATTATTCATGTTTTGATCGTATAAAATAATAATGATATGTTTAAGATATAATATTATTTATAATATAAAAATTAAAATTTGATTTATTTATAAAATAAATTAATAATCGTATTTATTATATTATTTTGATGTTTAAATATATTATAAATATTTAATTTTTAAATAATATTTTATTTAAATATTAATTTAAATGATATTTTTTATTTAAATAAATAAATTAATCGTGTCTAATCATATTATTTGTATATAATCATATTAATCGTATTATGTTATATTATTTTAATATAAATTAATTTTAAATATATTAATTATATTATGTCACGTGTAATATATATTATAAATGTATTGTATTTATATTTAAATTATTTGTATCATTTAAATATTCATATTGTATTTATATCTAAATTAATTACATCGTGTCTGAAATTATATTTGACATGAAATATGACATGATGATACAAATTATTAAATTTAAACTCAAAAAAAATTAAAAGTTTATTTTTTTAATACATTAAAACAAAATTAAAATGTATACAAGCTAGGAATATAAATGGGGATAAATTAAATTATGATTTTCTTTGGTCCATAAATGTCTTTTTCTTTATACATTGTATGGTATGAACGTGTTTGTTTCCTTTTAGTGGTCCTTTTTTTCTTGTTTTCAGTATTGTCAATGTGAATTGTTTTTGTCAATAATATATATTATTTCCACTTATAATGAAAATGAGGGAAAAAATCGAATTTACTATAATTTTATGCCTACTTTATTATTTATTTTTCTGCTTTAATTGGCCGGTCCATAATCTGATGCCACTTTTAACCATCCCCTTCTTTCTTTTTTGCATGGAAAATTTGTCCGGTAAGTACTAATTCTGCCCCATTTTATTTTAGTTATTTACTTTCATGCATATTAAAAAACTTTGAATTTTAACTATTTAATATTATAAATATAATTTTTTATAATATTGATGTATGATATTTTTATTTTCAAGAAATAAAAAATAAAATTTTAATATAAAAAATAAGAGTATAAAGTGTTTAAAAATAAAAAAATAATTTCATTTTCCGACATTTCAAAAAGAAAATGTGAATACTTTTAATGGGACAAAGGAGATAATTAATTTTGTCATAATTTTTTTCTTATACTTGAGACTTTGTCTCGGTGTTTGATGGGGGAGAAAATGTATTTATGGTTAGATAAGGATTATTGACTCTTTTTTAGACCTTTAATCTTGGATTAAATTTTGGCACAAGAAATTCCTAACTTTGCTTACAATGACACAGTGTTACACAGTGTCAGCTAATCTTTCTTCCACAAACTCATAAAATAATTCTATCTTCCACAACTTATGTTACTTTATTCACAAAATTTCTTTTTTGTTTTTATTTTTTTAATTGATTCGTGATTTTAAATCTAAAGCTTTATTTTTCATGCACGTGTGTATATATATATATATATATATTTATAAATATATATACTAGAAATCATTTCCAACTTCAACTGAGGTTGACTTTTTTTATAAAAAATCATAACATATTAATCTAAAATTTTTTTAAGATGAACGTTATCACAATTAGAGACAGATCTAATTATTACAAGAAAAATATTTTTTAAATTATTTTTGTTGTATTTGGCAAAGTGATGTTTTATAGCTTTTAAAAAATTGGAAAAATTTTGAATTAAGAAAAATTCAAAAAGGGAATCTCTTATATCAGATAACTACAATTTCTAATTTACTCAAAGGTCTAACCCAAATCTTAAAAAATAAATTTTGTGGCAATATAGATGAAACTAATCCAAACAGTGAAGCTCAATACATACTGTCAAAATTGAAACTTTGTAATACTAGAAATCTTGATGATTACTCCAAAAAATATATGAGTGAATATCAAAAACTGAATGAAGAACATTCTGCATATTGGAAAGAGCAATATTTTTATAAACTTCCCTCACCATGAGAAGAGTTATGTTTGTAAAATTACTCAACTTACCTAGAATCAAGGATTAAAAAAATCCAATTCTAGTAGTAGTACTAGTAATAATATTTCTCTTTATGATACTTTAGGAAATAGAATTAATTATATTCAAAAACAAGTTATTGAATATTGTCTTAAACAAGTGGCAACAAAGTAGATTAAAAGCAAACTTAGTGATAAACAATGCACTAAGATTTTAGAAAATGAATTTGAGTTTGGTTGTAACAAACAAATCAAACATTTTTCTAGAAAAAATAGAAACAAAAGATATATTATGAAAAAATGGAAACCTAAAAATAAGGTTACCAAAGGCAAAAAATTTGTTATTAGAAGAAAAACTTCTAATAAATAAAAATGTAAATATTTTATATGTGACGAAGAATGTCATACAGCACCTAATTGCCCTTAAAAAGGGAAAAGTGCTAAAAAAGTTATAAAACAATTAAAGAATGAGATTTATCAATCTATTTTGTAGAAGATTTATCTGATGAAGAAATTTTTTAATGAAACTACTTTCTAAATCAAAATTAGATACTTCTGATAGTGAAACAAAATATTTTTTAATGATGAATATTATTTCTAATCAAGAAGAAATATCATAAACATCTTCTATTGCAAATTCTATTGAAACACAACAAATGACATCTCTTAGAGATGTTATAAGAGAAACACATTCTCTTTTTTATGAGCAAATTTCTAAATTACAAATCATCAAAAAAATGATATTTATAAAAATACCTTTTTCAAAAAATTTCGACCATGGGGCAAGTGTCACATTGAAAAAATCAGTGGTGATACAATAACTAATGATTCTAAACAAGGATTAGTAGATATACCTTTGTTTACAAAAGAAAAAATCAAAAGATTTTTAGAAAAATACCCTAAAGTTAGATATATCCATATAGGAGTTATTATGATAACCATAAAACCCATTTTTATTTTTGGAAAAGACATTTCAATATTAACTGTTTTAACAGACAAAAGATTTTCTAATCCTATCAACTTCATAATCAGTGGAATTCAATCAAACTTAGTATTAAAAGCAATTTGGTTTAAAGTAAAACCAAACTATTTTATCTCTATTAAAAACCCTTAATAAAAGACTGTTTAAGACTCAGAATTAAAACAAAAAATTCTAATCTACATGAAGCAACACATGATCTTTCAATAAATTGGATTGCAATTTATGAGTTTACAAATGTTGCTACTACCTCTATTAAACAAATAAATCCTAAAATCATAGAAATTTTTAAACCAAAATCCTATGATATTGAAATCAAATTAAGATTGATGGATCTTAGAGACCTTTCAGTTTCTACTGATTGGTTAATTGAAGATATTACAGAAGAAAGAGCCACACATCATAGAGTCAATTTTGTAGAGTTTTTTACATCAAGAAACAACTTGTATTTTAAAAATTTTTTGAAACAAGCAACTCTACTAATAATTTAGCCATTCCTTCATCTACTTCTATTCTTTCATTTTCTAACTAAGAAAATGATACAAAAAGTTTAAGTAGCAATCAATCTTTTGCTACTTCTTATAGAAATTCTTTTTCAATATTTTTAAAACAAAACAATGTCAACATTCCTATTTTTCCAAGTGATAATCAATCACAACCTTATATTTACAATACAGTAAACTCTATTTTAAACTCAGTATCTTCTTTTAAAAAAACTAGAATAAAAGAAAACAAAAGTTTAGCCATTATTACCTAATATAAAATTGGCAATGATGAAGTTATTACTTTTTCTAATAATCAACCAAAAAGGTTTTATAATTACATTCATGTAGAATTTAGGTTTAAAAAATATAAACCTTATTCTTTGCATGTTTTATTAGATACTAGTGCAACAATCTCCAATTGCAGAAGTAATGCTTTACCATTAAATAAATAGGAGCCAATGAAAATCCATTAATAGTAATAGGCATTGATGGTAAATAAACCATCATTGGGTTTAAAGAAAAAAATATTTCTATATACATTATAAATAAAAAATTCATCATACCAAAAATATTATGTTTTCTTTTTATGCATGGAGATATGCTTTTAGGTAATAATTTTCTCTATAATTATTTACCTTTTAGCTTAAACCCTGATACAGTAACACTTACTATAGATAAACAATCTATAGAAGTTCTTTTGGTTACAAATCATAAACATATTTGTGATTTTACTTTCCAACCAGGAGCTAATAAAATTGAAATAAAATCCATCAGTGAAACGTACTGGTTATTTGAACTTTTATAAGAAAATTTTAGTGAAGAACCACTAAAATTATGGTTTAGAAGTCCTAGATTTTGCACTTTACAAATTATTGATTCAAACAAAATCATTAAAGTAAAACCTATGGTCTATACCAAACAGGACATAAATGAATTTGAAATTCAAATTTCAGATCTTTTACAAAAAGGGCTAATTGAACTAACAAATTGTTCACATTCTAGTCTTGCATTTTTTGTAAGAAACCATGCAGAACAAAAACATGGTAAGGCTCGTATAGTAATTAACTATAAAAGACTTAACCAAAATTTAGTTTTTGATGGGTATTTCATACCTAGAAAAGATGTTTTAATAAATTTAGCTCAAAATGCTAAATATTTTGGTAAATATGATTATAAATCTAGTCTTTTGCAAATCATGCTTTCAAAAGAGTCAAAACCATTTACTACTTTTAGTGCTCCATAAGGACAATATCAATGGACTATAATGCCATTTGGTCTCTACAATGCACTTCAAATTTTTCAAAAATGGATGGACATAATTTTTGAAAAATACAAAAATTTTTGCTATGTCTATATAGATTATATTCTTGTTTTTTTTTGTTTATAATCTCAATTTACATTGGAAACATCTAAATTTAGTTTCTCAAGAATTTATAAGAAATAGGATTATACTAAGTCCCAAAAAAAGATTGAATTAAAAAAAATAGAAATTGAATTTTTATGATTAAATCTTTCTTCTAATGGTCTGACATTACCAGACCATAT